GATTTTTTCAGTGTAACTAAGATGTTGGGAAACAATAATGCTTTCCTGTTCTAGTATATTTTTATTTTACTTTAGTCATCTTACGTAAGAGGGACCTAACTGGTAATACAGTTCAGTTGCACTTGCGCTAATTGTCATCTGATAAGTCCTTAAAGATCATTTTCGAAAATTCAGCAATGCAATTTAGTGAACTGAACAAGAGTTATGTTTCCGTAGTTGTTAAAATCCCTCTTTCACGGATTCAGTGGCTGTGTCATCAAATTTGTTAATGAAGTTGTCGACTATCTTATGAAATTAACCTTGAAGTCTTATTGTTGTCCGAGAACAAGCTCATCGTAATTTGTGTACGAAAACTTTCCGATCATAACTACTGTTACGTCGAAAATTTTGTTTATTTCCATTTATTCTGAAAGCTCTCATATAATCACTAACGCCATCTTTAGTATAATATTAATTGTTTTTTCTTCTTCTCTTTTCGTAGTTGTAGAATATCCTGAGACATGTCCACACCTCTATTACACAGACGTTTGCTGATGAGGTTTATCTAATATAACAATTCATACCGCACCACAAGACAATCCCCAAATTTGAAACTTAGTATTTTGACAATGATTCTTTTCTTATGGGTATTAAAGAACGATATTGTTCAATTAGCTCTTGTGAATGTATTATCTTCTTGAGACCAGATATGATACTCAACCTTTTCTAGCTGGTATTAAAGTATGCGAACAGCAATACTTCTACCTTCCCATCGCATGCAACTCAACAGCTTCACAGTTAACTGGGAAAGAAGTTATAATGATACTTCCAATACATGATCTACTTATCTGTGTAACACTAAGGTTCGGCGATATTAGTGTGTATCTGCGTGTACTGAAGATTTAAAGTTACCAAACGGTTTCACTTATTAGTAATGCCAGTACGACCAGTATGTAGGCCTTTATAATTGCTACTGGTATCGATACTAAAAACAAGCACGAAGCCAAATATATCGTTCAAATCACTATTTGTCACCAAGTTGTACCGTTTTCGGGGAATTCCACCTCTCATCAATAACCCTTGAGAAGAGCAAATCTAATGCGCAAGATTAGACTTCATTGTATATGTATGGTATTTTGAGCAGTCTTTTACTCACCACAGTGACCCTATATTTATTTATAGGATTTGAAGAATATGTAGCATTAATGCTACAGATTTATTCTTTCAGAATTGTTCATCAGACAAGCTAAAACTATTATTTCACTCCTCACCAATACCACTGACAAGGGAAAATAGACTAAGGTACATATTCTGCAGATTATATACACACGTGTGTGTAATTCAATTATATTAGCAGATTTCTCAGTATGACAAAGGTGTTGGGAAACAACAATGCTAACCGGTTATTGCACAAATGTTCTAGCATACTTTTTTGAGGGTTACACTGTGTACTTAACTATAAAATGTACGTATATATATTATATAACTCCATCAGAGATCCATACAAACTAGATAAAATATTTTTGGGGTACAGACAGGAAAGGAAATGGGTTTTAGGAACTAGGTACACGCTTAGAAGGAGCAGTGGGATGATAGGTATTAAAAATCAAATAGAAAAGATAGGAGGTTCTTATTTCATATTCTGGCTTGTCAGTAAGTAGAGTTCCTAATTCATAAGAAACTTTAGACGTTGTATTTGGACATCACAAACATATAATTTGAACCAAAAATCAATATTTAGGTGTGTTCTTTTAACATGTACTTTTAAATTAACTAATGCATAGTACAAAAATTTGAATTATAATCTACAATTTGATACCAAACTTATTGACATAAATTCATAAAATAGTAGTTCAATAAAATTTTGAATGCAAGTCAACAAACGCGATGAAATGGCCGTTGACCAGTGAGGATAGGATTAACAAACATATTCAGTAGTACTAAACTTGACCAATGGGAAAAATAATACAAACTGAGAATTAGGTCAGTTCTTGTGAAGCTGGGGAAGAACAGGGTTTGGACTATCATTAAGAAAGTGAGTATGTCAATGAAAATGGGAACAACTGTATCACCTAGGTTCTGTTTAAACCAAGATAATACACACAGCGTAAAGCTCTACAGTGAACATGAAAACCACGAATTGGATCCTGTTGGCAAATACAATCATCACAAACTGAAACCATGAATGAATGAGTGAAGTCAATGGATTTGGACTCATCCATAAAAAATAGGAATGAAGTATAGATAGGTCAAACGATATTCGTGGGAAAAAATCAGAACAACTAGTCGAGTGTATCCAAATTCTTACAGTAACTTAGGAATAAATCACAGGTGAGAACAGCAACCAGCTATGGAGGATAGGTTGTGTATCAGACATGGCAAGTGGTGCAATGCTTAAATATGCAGAATGAAAGGCAAAATAGCAGAACATCTATTTGCAAAAATTATAGCCTACCGAGACATGAAACTACAATGACAAGAGGGATGCTGAGGTAGCAACCGTAGCACAGCAGTAAACTGTACAGGCAGGTCTTTACAATGAATACAAAAATGAAAGTTCAAATAACTCAGTACACAAGCTTTGGTCTGAAAAATATATAAATGTTCCAACACATAGCCTAAAGACCCAGATGATGCACAGGACAAAGTATTTGCAAAACAGTCTCTGGCCAAAGCAGAGATCAAACACCATTACTCCAGTTTTGAGGAAGTTAAGGCTCAATACATTTGCAGCAAGGAACATTTGTCTACTTCCCAAGACGTTGAAGAGAATATATGCAAGACCTTCAGTGCTCTTGTATACTTAACCTTTAACCGTTTTATGTATGAAATAAAAGTTCACTTACTGTCAAGAGTGAGCCTTAATTGCTTATATGTCAGTCATAATTGGAACTGCAGATTGAGCTTTAAGTCTAAATGGAACCATTACAGGTGGCATAAATGCATACAAATTATGTGGATAATAATCTACTCGCATTAAGGGTAGTTTGAAGCTCTAACTCAAAAACCCACATATATAACAACAGAGAGAAAATCTGAACATCATCAATATAGAAACAGCTAGCAACAAACAGAGGAACTTGCTCCAAATTATCATTGATTTTGATGGTAAAAAACACTTTTAAAGAATGTCTAAGGCCTGTGCGAGAGAACTAGGAAGTAAAACTCAAGAGTTTGAAAGACCTATCCTCTTAGATGTTATGGATAAAAATGTGCAAGTTGTCATGCAACCTATAGGAATGAATATTTCATAATAATACATAATTCTATGTGGTATCATGTCTTTTCTAGATCAAAACATATAGACCATGTCTTTTCTTCTTTTTTAATAAGGATTCACAGATAGTTGTTTTGAATGTTGTCAAGTGGACTGTGGTGAACCTTTGCATGAAAAAGTCACACTGAACATTGAGAAATAAAGTTATTTGATCCTAGGAACCAAACAAAACAATTATTAGCCATAGTCTATAACACCTTACCAAGCTTGTTATTCAAGGCAACAGAAGGAATCATAGGATCCTTCTCATGACTTAGGAAAAATCTTAATTATCTTATATAGTGCTGATTATTATTTTCATGCAAAAGAAAAGTTAAGTTATTAGGTAGTTTGTTACATGTTGAAATGTTAAAATTGTGGTTTAATAAATCATGTTACAATGTTATATGTAATATTTCTTAATTACATGAATATGTGATGTGGTACAAAATACTTGTCTTTTTATTCCTTTTTAGACAGTTCTAATTCAAAACTGGACTTGTAAAAATAAAGTCTACTTAAGCAGAATATGTTAAGAATGTTAATAATTTCAACCAAATCCAGCAACAAAAAATCTGTCCTATTCCATATACAATTCTGTATTTAAGATATCAACAGCATATATACAAGTAATGCTGCAATATTTTTGTAGTTAAAGAACAGCCATTTAACAGTTAAATACAAACATTTTCTGTACGAAGAATGTTCCAGACACCATTACTACATAAAAAAATGAGGGAAACTTTGTCAAGCTAAGAAAGAAGTGTGCAAGGTTAGACTTTTACAGATAACAGCAAGTGAACTGTGTGGAGTTATCCAATACAGAGATGAAATAACAAAATTAAAAACTTCTGAAATTAGTGTTCAAGATAAATAAAAGTGCAAATTAAGAGTATGAAAAATGGCATTTCCTTAAAAATAGTGTGTGGTCAGCATCCATTCACACCCACCTTTGAGGCATGACAGTGTGATATGCAAACAAATAGGTTTTTCACAATCTTTATTAATACAGAAATATTTTATAACCTTTTGTTTAGTATGTTTCTATACAGTTTTAGCATAAACTGTTGAAATGGTTTATTTTTAGTTGCTTTTGTACTTTTGTTGTTCTGGATAACATATCTACTCTGCCTGATGGAATATTGCAGAAACTTTGCATATTAATGTAGGAAAGGGTCAATGACTGCCATATCCTTTACTGGCCAAGTGGATAATGTCTACATGTTACAGCCAATGAATACTGTGACACAATAACCAGTCATGTGGTGATGCTATTGCACAGAAATGAACCAAGGCTTCTTTTATCAGTTTGGAAGTACTTAGTTCAACAGAGAGCTGCCAAACCATTTACAAGTCCATTAAAGGTGATCATCCCTTTGTCTAAATAAATACACACATTATTTTCTTGTTTTTTGTGCTAATAAAGACTGTTTAACTTCATATCACACATATCTAGTCTCATTTTTCACACAGCTTATAAACTCAGTTTTTAGATTACTTCACAAGTTTCCTGCTTTATCTTCCTGTTATTGAGTGGACCTGTCTAATACTTGAGCAGACATCAACATGATTGAGAATACCACAACAGGACCAGATTATCTGCACATCCCTGTACCACAGGCAACAATTATTCCTGTGTGACTTCTTTAAAAAAAATATAAGTACATCATATTGTGGTACACGTTTCCAGTGGGATTGTTCTAACAAAAAAATGGGAATATCTTACCAATCATTTCATGTGCAAGTATCTAAAACCACACATACATAGTCTTTCCAAATTTTATTAAATTCTGTCACAAGATGCAAAAGAGAAAATTTTGGTATATATAATTCACCTTAATATATAAAGTTACCCAACTTTTAAGAAGGGGGGGATGAGCATAACAGAAAAAAAAGGAAATATTTTGTACTAAGCATCTCCAATATACAAGTTACTTTCCTGCATTAGTTGGGTTTCATTGAAAAATAAAATAAAGGTAAATCTTTACTGAAATAGTTATAAAAGAAATAGAAACTTAAAGGCATACTTCCCTCAAAATAATAAGAAAAACAAATGTTTACAAGTTTAAATAAACCCTTATATCCTTCTACTTTTAACTTATTTCTTACATTATACAAATTCAATCCAAGCACCTAAAATTTAGTAGGATGAAATAGTTTGACAGAAATAATTTAATGCAGTTAAAACACCTCTAAAAATTGAAACATAAAAATAATTTTAGGTTCTGTGTGATAATACAGCTTCATTTACAACAAAGAACAGAACTGAAATTAGGAATACAAATGACAAACATACTTTAAGAATTTCCTATTATAATCAATGCACACATTTTAGATTTAATTAACTAACTTTGGAAGTTTAATATATGTCTATTCATTCAAGACCCAACATATAATTAATGAATTGTACTCCTGCTATGATAAGTGGTTGCCATGCAACTAAATAACGTATAAAGTCTAAAAAATTTCCATAGAAGACGTGAGGTTTTTCCCATCTGAGAAAGAAAAAGTTAAGGGAATGATTCTTAAAAGTTTAGTTAATCCTAAATACATCTAACAAAACACTTTTTATAGATATAACTTTTATATGTATCAGATCACTTTTCAATTTGAAACAAGGGTATGCCTTTATGTGTTGCAAAACACTACCACATATCCAGAATTGTTATATATTCTTAACCATTATACAGATGGATGAGTTAGTTATCATATTAAAACAATTTTACAAACAATCAGAACTACATTTTCAGTTTGGTGTTTCATGAGTAATGTGATGCCACCAAAAATTGATTGCTTTTCTCATAAGTTGTTCCATATTCCTTTATCTTGTAATACCATTAAATATAAGGGATATATAAAAAAATGAATATGGAACAACTTATGACACCAGGACCCACAAAATGTTGTACCCAAAACATGGTAAGCCAAGTATGGCATCTTGTAACATGTAAGAATCCATGAATACAAAGATTAGTAACAAACGTTGTCCATGTGCCCTAAGCAACAATATGCAACATAATCAAGAAGGATCCTTGTCTAGGAAAGTAACAAGTCATGTACATACAAGCTGCTTCCACAACACATCTATTCAACTGTTGCATAACACAAGCAGCTGGAGAATGAAATGGGTATTACACTATTCCATAAGAAGACATATTGGTCATGTCACTGGATGAAGTACCTATGGATTTCTGTGTGATCAAACAGTTGAAATGGGTGCTGTGAAACAGTTATTTTTGCACATTAAGTGGCTTATGTAAAGCAAGCATACATGAGGGAGTATGTTTTAGACATGACAGCCTTATGAGAGAGACTTTTTTGCAATGGAAAGTCTGCTGCATGGCTATTATTAAGATGCACAGTCATCAGATAGAGCTTGACCTAACATGGCAACATAGACAGTAGCAGCATGGCAAGGCTTCAAAATCATTTGAACATATTAAACCTCTGTATTATGTACATTCAGGAATCATTGGAACACTACACAGTTAAAACTGGAGATAAATTCACAACTTATATCTTCTAAACGTTCCATAAGCAATGTTTAATGTGTTCAAACAAACATTTTATACATCAAGACTTGTAATTTTTTCATTCTAATATTTTTAAAGGCTGTTTGTATTTTTACACTTGATATTTATAGTAGCTGTTTATGAGTTGGAGACAAATATTAGTATGTTAGTGTACAAATGTGTCACTAAAGTAATTGTATACAACATCATGCATTATGTGTTATTAATCCATACACACACACACACACACACACATATATACAGACATATATAGATACACACACACACATACATAGATAGATACACATATATACAGACATACGTAGATACACACACACACATACATAGATAGATACACATATATACAGACATACATAGATACACACACACACATACATAGATAGATACACATATATACAGACATACATAGATACACACATATATACATATATATATATATATATATA